TAAAAGGTCTAGACAAACATGTGAGCTATCTATGGAAAGGTGTATGATTTTGATAAAGTCTTATAAAAGCAATATTGTATCAGAAATCTGAACTTTGGAAAGAAAGTCAATAAAGTATTGATTTCTAGAAGTCCAGTTGATTTCTGAGTACATGTCAAAGCTAGTGGGAGCATAAGTGTTATGCTAATAATCATCATGAAAGTGGGAGTATGATAATTATAATAAGTGTTGCAATTTAGCAATGTTACTTATAGAAAACAAAAGTTTCAATTGGGAATAAGTTGTTTTGCTATAATTAAGGGAGAGGAAATTGTACTTCATTTCAAATATGAAAGCTTAGATCGTGAGATTTTAATCAAATTTAGTCAAATATATACCGGAATGTTATGTTGGAATGGTTCAACATAAGGAAATTCTATATATTAGAACATTATTTGCATTCTAAAATTCGATTATGATTACATCATCCCTTTTCATAATCTGAATTATGAGAACATGGCAAATAAAATGACAAATAAAAGGACTGGTAAAGTATCATGTTTTTCTGTAAGTCGTGTCCCATATTCTTCGGGTATAGGATCGATTACATGTGCTATAATATTCATCGATTCTAAATTTTTCAAATGCCTGGGGCATTAACAGGGAAAAAGGATTACAAGTGGATATGACTAAAATGATTAAGCAATTGTCCAGGACAATCTAAAGTTTACCAAAGATTGGTTGCTCAGGGACAGTTGAAGTATAGTGTTAAACTTTGGAAAGAACCATATTGACATACTCTGAAAAGAGGCAACTCTTGTTCACAAGTGATAGTCAAAATGGGCATATGGAAATGTTTCGATAGGTGGAAGTTATTCTTAAAATCTGTGTAAGATTAGAAAACTTAATGCAAGAAGGATATTCAAAGGAATGTACTTTGAATGTGAGACTTCGTTTCCATGTAATTGATCTCCATTGGAATACTTTGTAATGTTTGTTGCCAAGTCTTCGTGACTTGGGCATAGTCATTACAAGGGGATCATTGCATATAAGTTTAGAATCTAACAGATTACAGTAAATGGAAAGAATTTGGTATTCTTACATTTACATAAGGATTGGGATTGTGAAATGAGCATCATTGAAATATTGTCAATTGATCTGTTTCATAAAGTAAGGATCATAAGACAAACATAGTGTGCATACTTGGAGTATGGCATAGCTATTGTTTAGACAAACATAGTGTGCATGCTTGGAGCATAGCATTACTATTGTTTTAATTCAAGTATTAAGTTGATAAGTCGAAACATTATACAATGAATAATGAGTAATCAATATGGTGCTTAGATAAAAGGTGTTTTATTTACTCTCAAAGTGTTGGGGCCATATAGGATTAGTATTATTCTTGTGTTTCACTTTGCATGTTGCTTCCAGAATAACTAGGTCGTCTTCCTAAATGACTAAGTTGTTTCAAACCATCCACAGTCGATAATACGTTGGAAGTAGGTATTAAGGCAAGACTGTCATGAAGCTGGTTTGTAGATGTCCAAGGTAGTGGACATAGCAAGAGTTACTACAACATTCATGAGTGCTCATAAGTTCTGAGTATTGGATTAAACCCACACTCATTTGACTCACTTCATGGATTTTATCACGAGGTGATCATGAGACGATAATATCTTATATTCTTCAAACCTAGAGATATGAGTTGTTACCTATGAGTTGGTTATACATTGATTGCACGAAAACGCATTGGTAACTCGATGTTATAAAATGTGTTTGTTAGGGTGCAAAGTCACTCTTGGATGTAGTGTTTTAGGCTTTCCCCTTTGTATGTGTAAATGGGTTGAGTCTTTCCTATAAATAGGAAGTGAGTGACTCCCATTACGTAAGGAACCATTTGGAGTGTTAGAATAGAGAGAGAACCTTGTACAAACCCATTTGTATATTCTTTTCTAGATCTAATATGAGCTTACAAAGATTTATTTACTCCTTGTGTTCTTGATTTTACATGATGATTCACTAGATCTTTCTAATTCTGCACATGCCATCATAATCAACACCACTACAATTGGTATCAGAGCGGGTGTTCTTGATTTGATCAAGAATTGATCCTTGATGGCTATCTTGATTTGGTGATTCATATTTTGATCTTTGATCTTCATGTTTTAGAGAGTTTTTGGATTCTAGAAATCAAATTCATCTTTGATTCTATTCATAATTCGATTTTCTTCACTAGAATTGAAGTGATTTTTGCTTTCTCTCTCTAGAAAACCCATTTGAAATCACTTTCTCTCTCTAGAAAATCTTCAAGTTTTGTGATCATGGTGAATTTGCCTTACAATTCTTGGATTGTGATCGTTGAAGATATCAAATACAAAGTCAATAAAGATCAATATTATGGGTTGGTGTTAAACAAGTTGATATATTGGGAAACTATGGTTTCTTATGGAGGATTGAAGGATGATCATGGAAGCTTGATATTTCAACCACTTTGTGAGATCAAATGGTTGGCTGATATTACATGGTCCATATCATCACGTAGTGTTGATAAGATTGGAGAAGAAAAATATTTGTTCAGAAAGAAATATATTTCTCTTATTGAAGATCCAAATGATCTTCGTGCTCTTAAGGTTGTTGAAGTTGTTGACAATGGAGTTCAATGTGATGTTCTGATGTCTTGAAGTTCATGATAAGAAGATTCAAGTTGATTCTCAAGATGAAAAAGTTTTTTGCTCGATTGGAGTTCAAACCGATGATATTTTGTGTTCTTGTAATTCGTTTGAAGGAATGATTCCTTATCGGAAGCCGGTGATCCAAGAATTTCACAAGTATCAAACTCCAAAAGATTTGATTCAAACTCATAAAGTTGAAGTTGTGGAAAGTGGGTTGTTCATGAAATCAAGTCTTCAAGATGCAAAAGATGAGAAAGAAAAAGAAGAAGAAGATTAATCGGAAAAACAAGCGGGTTTACTCACAAAAATTGTCAAATATTGTGAAGCCGAAATCCGTGAAGCAAATTTGGGTTCCAAAGCAACAATCTCCAAAGGTTGCATTGAATTTGAAGTCAAAACCCAAAAGTGTTGGTGGTTCTTTTGAAGATGTTCTTGGATCATTGAAGAACACGAACAACACGAAGAACGAGTTGTACATCTCGCATAGTGGGTGGTACAATGTTCAAATTGAAGATTTCCTCATTCCAACAAAAGAACCAAGATCTTCTAAATTTGATTCGTTCGTTGAAAACGGAACTCGATTCGTCAAAAAGGTATCTCAAATTCTCAAATGGATTCCAAAACGTCCATGATTTCGATTCGTGTTTTTCGTTTTTCAATTTTTGATCGATTTGCCTCATTGGATCTAATCCGTTTCAACCTCGTTGATTGATCCAATTATTTTTGTTTAGATCACCAACTTCAACTCATTTTGTTTAAATCTCGCAATTCACTGTTCATTGAATCAAATTCGAAGCCCAACAATTGTGTTATGGATTCATTTATTACACTTGGTATCTTGAGTCCATTTTTTCGAATTTGATACTGTTCATCAGAGCCCAATTAGATTTCTTTTAATTTTTGTTTAGCCCATATCATTTGACTAAGGTATTCTTTGATTAGTTCTTATTCTCTTTGTCAGATGAATCTCCTTTGATGAAAGATATCTTATTCTCATCGTCATCATCTAAATCGAGCCAAGAAAAATCAAATCGTTTTATTTTTCTTATTCTTGATCGATTTCACCGGTCTGAATCGATTTGGATCAAGTTTGAGATGTTCATTTGAACTCGATAGTCAATTTTCAACGCTTAGTCTCTGTGATATTGAAATCGAATGGTTAAGTGCCAATCGATTTCGAAATGATGATAGTTGTTGAGTTCAATCGAATCGAAATTAAATTTCTTTGGAGTCGATTTTGACTGTTGATTCCACTTGTTCTTATCTGATTTGAAAGTCAAAAAACGCTAAATGTCAAAATCGACACATTTGAAACAGATTTTGACTTAGAATGATTTTCGAAACAAATGATGAAATTGATTTCGACTTTGGAATGTTTATATGAAATTGACTTCGAATGTTGACAATCGGTTGAATGAAAAGCAAAGGATGAACATGTACAGGACATCACAAGTTGAAAATCGATAGGTAGGAACGAACTAGAAAGGTCGACTTGGTGAGGAATTATGTTTTGATGGTCGATGGCTGGGATTTAATTTTGAAGTTGGATGGATCTTGTTCTTGATGACGGAAGCTACGATGTCGATAGGTTCGTATGATTCAGTACCGGAACTGATGTTATGATGAAATCAGTTTTGTGGGTTGATGTTTTCGAAGGTTTTTGGAATTGAAGTCTGAACGATTTCGAATATTTTGAAGCTATCGATGTCAAGGATCAAATGAGAGGAATCGATGGTTTGAATGGATGAACAGGTGGGTAACGATTATATGCGAAGATTGAATGGATGTAATGGATTTTTGGAATCGTATTAAGTGCTTATGGTCGAAATAATCTTCAATTTTGGAATTAAGGGATTGATTCGAATCTGTGTGTAAAATGAGTTGGGGTCGATTCGTGCCTGTATGTTGTATGTGTGTTCGTTCGCGTCTATAGGGAAGAATGATTTTGATGGAAATTTGCTTTTGTGATCGATTGTCAAGGAACGAAAAAAAAACGATGAACTGTGAAAATTTGATTTTGGGATTGTTCGAATGTCCTGGCAAAGTAATAGATCTGGGGATTTGATTCAAAAGTAATAGTTTGGGAAGAACTTCCTCTCTCTCTATCTCTGTACAATTTTCCCACTTTTGATCCTTCTCACATACGTTTCCTGTAAAATTTATGTGAAATTTTCGTTACCCAATTCGATTCTACATGTAATTTCCAGGAATTTTATCACAAATGCCCCATGTTTCAATCCCAATGATCGATCCAGTTTTTTGGTTTGTGGTTGTTCCTCTCTTGAACCACTTCCAACCCGTTTCGATTTGGGAAAAAAAAATTCGTTTTTGTTAATTTAACCTACGAAAATGACGACGAGAGGGAGTAGATCGGAGAAGGTGAGAAGAATTTTCCAGCAATTTGATTTCAACAGAGATGGTAGCCTCAACAGAGAAGAGATGTCTGCCCTTGTTGTCGCTGTAAACCCTAGGGTGAAATTCAGTGACGAACAAATCAGCGCTATCCCCGACGAGGTTTTCCGAACGTACGGCGACTTTATTGACGGCGAAAAGGGCCTGACTTATGACGGTCTGTTGCGTACGTACGACGACGGCGCCGGTGACGTCGACCATGATTTTGAGGCACTTGCGCTTGAAATGAAAACGGATGACGATAATGAAGCTGCGTCTTCGTTAGCTTTAGAAGAAGCTTCCACTTCATCGGTGCTTGAAAGGGTTTCGTCTGCCGGACAACAGAAGTCACACCGGACGGCAGCCTGGGCGGCGTCGCCGAACCACGGAATTATCTTTGACGACACATGGAAGCTCGTTGACGATTTGGAAATTCTGATCAAGAGATTAAAATCGAAGCAAACCAAAGACGGAAAACCAAAAGGGGAAAGCCTAAAACACTACATCCAAGAGTGACTTTGCACCCTAACATTCTCCCCGTCAAAGTTAGGATTGGATGTCCGGCTTCAATCTCCAACGAGCTAGCGCGATCAAGACCAAACTCCCCCCACGAAGAAACACCGGTCTTCAAATCCGCTAATGAATATCCGACAAACCCGAGCTTCGAATACCCATCAGTGCCTTTGTGTATGATTCAACAAGTAGTTAGTACAAGCATATGAATCAAAGTTTATCCATTTCTTTTACCCTCAAAAGGGATAAAAGCGATATCTGTCGGCCCCTCGATGATTTAGTGATGACACCTCGAAGTGCTTGGCCAAGCCTGGACTGATTTGATTTGTTCCATTAGTCGGTCGTCATAAATCAGACATCGGGAGGAGGAGGGAAACAACAAATGGACAGAGAGAATGATTATCATCCATGTCTCAGTCCATCTGATATCAGAATGGAGGAATATATGATCACTTACTAATGGACGCGTCAGTGATTTGTTCAGTGTTCGACAACAGCTTTTAAGAGCTATGATTGCTGGTCAGGTTGGATTCATACTTGCAATAATAGTTATTAGACTTATCCAAGTGGGAGACTGTTGGATTAGTGTCTAAGTCAACAACTATAATTGGTATATACTTGACCCGACCCGGCATGGTCCATTTGGGTTGCATAGCATCGGAACAATTTGGATAGACCTTTTGTGAGAAGAGGATATTTGTGACATATTAATATATTATAAGTTCTAATATATTAATATGAAATCATATTATTTAATTGATCAAGAATTAATTTGGAATTAATTTAGTGATCAAAAGAGACTATTAAATATATGGGGATTGATTGTGTAAATAATTGTTCTTCTATATGCGGGCTTATGATCCATGATCCTTATATGGGCTAAACCCATGGAGTGATCCATGGATACTCCATGGAGGTTAAAACCCCATGGAGCATAAGGAATGGGTAAAGGCATGAGTACATGGTGTAACCCTAAGTGCATACTATATAAAGACCCCATTGGTTGGTGAAATTGGCCACTAGTGCATACACAAGAGGGCAAGCCGATTCTAAGAGCAAGTATCTCTTCTCATGGTTATTCCAATGTTGCTGATGTTGTGTGAACCATTTGAGGTGTCACACTTGGGGCACTATGCTCTTAAGCTC